GGGGGGGGGGGGGGGAGATCGGCTGCCTGCTCACCTTTTTTGTATTCTACTAGCTGTGTTCAGTGCTTCTGTTGACTCTACTTGTCTAATCAAATTCTTATTTACAATAATTTTTTATCTTCCTCAACAGGTTGCCAATAAATTAGGATGAATGCTGGGATACATTTTTTACAAGCCCGTGAGATTACAGAACAGCTTTTTGCAACTACTGTGTGTAAAAGCATTTTTATATGGTTATAGAGCTTGCATTCCTAATGTATATTGTATACCTAGGCTTAGGTTAGTTTATATTTTGATTTGTGTACTGTAGTTTCACTTTTTGAATTCTTGTTATAAAGGATCAACTGTGTTATTAAAACACAAATCTGATGGATCTGAACTAAAACTACTGAATGTGAGTGGATTTGTGTGAAGTCATTTATTTTTCTCTGTTTACTATACGTTTTATAAACATTTCATTTTGATGGCAAAAGATCTAGTGATTTCTATTGAAATTGAAAAAATTAACTTGTCATATGTAACTTTGTGGAATGAAGCACAAGATTGAAATATAGAGTTAGTTGTAGTGCTATTTAGATAGCATAAATTACTGAACCAGTACAAGGTTGTTTATTAATGTTTTTAATGTATCCAAGATGATGCTTCTGGAAACTTGAGACTCCAGAAAAAGAATCACAGCTTGCTCATACTCTTGTATTACTTTACCTATTGAGCCTGTATTTTAATTCTCTAAAACACACCTGCAAAATTGAGCAATGACTGCCATTCAAATAGGTTGTAGAATTTAAAAAGCTGAGGTGCTATTAATTCTTGGTTAAAGTTTTCTAAGAGTATTGTAAGATACTACACTGAAACTCTGATAGCGCAGGTCCATTAACAGTGTTATATCTGAACAGTAGTGTTATGAAAATAATGATAAACCACTATCCGAGAAAAGTGCCAGGTCTTTGAGGTTAGATCACTGGTTCTCTGAATGAAACTCTGCTGATTAAGAAACCAGAATATCCTTGTATGCAAAGGAAGGAATCCAGTTATCCAAGAGTTGTAAAGTCCTGGTTATTGTGAGAGCAACAAACTCTAGGACTCTTCATAATACCCTGATCCAGAAACCAAAACTCCTATTAATCTCTTATTAAACTTTTATTAATCTTGTCCAATTTGTGTCTAGCTGTTAAAATTTAACAGGTTAAATTAGAGTTTTTGTTTTCATAAATATTTTCTGAATAGTCCTTGTATACCATTTCACTGGAACACAAAGATGACCAGCGTTTGGAAGATTGGTGTGGCTGTTAAAATACCAATGCAGTTTGTTTGAGCATAACTTTGGCATAAAATCGAAAATGCATGCGAGGGTCTGAGAACTAGAGTGGAATTACGAAGGCAACACAAGATGTGATTTTTCAAAGCAGGAAAAACTGTACTATAAGCTCATAGTAATAGGGAAAGTTGTGATTTGTAGGTGTATGCTGTACCACCAGCCTTAGATTTGTTGTACTGTCATTAAAATACCTAATAAACTGTTAAATGGTAACATATAATAGTGAGATTATGTTTAAAGCATGGACAGTAGTGCATGCATTTCACTAATCTACCCAAAAACTTGAACTTCAGCAATTGAATACATCATTTAAAGGCCTGGGCATAATATTTCACCTGCATTTGATATATTACAAGTTATCTGACTGCGCATCCATAATTGTTGAACAGGATTTAGCTATCCACTGAACATTACAATATGGAGATTCTCTGTGCGTTGTTTTCTAGTTCTCAAAACAATTGCACATGCTGCTTTTGGCTAAAGAATTCGAGTGCTGAAATGAAGTTTTACTACACCTATATGCTGTAACATTTTACAATATACAGGGGAACCTTTTATGTGGTATAATTAAGGAAGTTACATTATTCTCTCCTCTCTCCCCCCAACCCTTCTAACTGTCATGGTTTTGACTGTGTATGAACTGACTAAAGTCAGTACTTTTCAACAGGTCTAGTTACAAATATGTTACCAAGACTATTACACTTTAAAAGGGGAAAACAAATTAGGATTCACTGTGAGCATTAACCAGATTAATATTACTCATTAGAGAAGTTTAGGCAATTTGTCATTTATGTTTCTTACAACATTTATCTTGAAGACAGAGTATCAAACATGGGGAGGTATTGGAGTGCACAGGACTGATGCATTTAGAAACCCCTATCAAGAGGAGGAAGTTGCGATGGATCAGCCATGTCAGCAGAATAAGAAGACTGTATCCCCAAGAATATTTTGTATAGCAAGATTTGAGATGGCTCTAAAAAGCAGGGTTGCCCTCTATGGTGGTACCACACTGCAAAAATTATATGAAGTTGTTCAACATCAAGGTACAAAGGTGGGAGGAGTGCACAGAATCCTGTTAGACGTGGAGGGAACATTTAGTATTGGGTGCTGCTCAACATGAAGCAGCTTTGATCCTAATGATGGAAGCAAAGTGAGAAAGAAGGAAGCAGCATGCTGTAAACTTGCTCCAACTCGGACAACATAATGCATCTGTGAAACTTGTAACAGGCTATGTTGCACTCTAGTTGGTTTTGTCAGCCACAAACAGATTCATCAGGCATCTGACTAGACCTCTTACATGTACACCATGATCCAGAGGATCGATTGTTGCCTACTGTCTTGAAGACAGACTAATTTCAAAATGTAGCCCCAGGGCTAGAAACAGCAGTCTGAATCCAGCATGAATGGAAGTCAATTGTCAACTCTCTCTCATCTGTGTACCTACTTTCTATTTTATGAACATGCCTCCAGTTGCCACAATCTAGTTTGATTTTTCTTCTTGGTATACTTCCACCCCCTGTCTTTCTTTCACAAGTGAAGCTCTGCCTTACCACAGGCCGGCCTCATTTCTGTGTATACCCATAGTATATACCCTGTGCTTTCCTAGTTGCAGTCTTTCTAAAACCAAGGAATTGGGAATAGGATGGTCAGTGCTAGAGCAGCAGACAAAGGTAGAGACATTTCCATGTGAAGCACACCAAGCAAATGAACTTTTTTTCAACTAGACCAACTTATGACTGATACAAAGTACAGGGAAGATTCTGCACAATACAACAGTAGTGCAATGAGCCTGGGTACACCAATAAATTGTGGTGTGTGGTGTTTTCCCGAGTAGTTTATCTGATTTGCAATTCACTTAAATCAGCATACCTCAACCTGTGGGTCGCAAGGATATATAAAAGGGTCACAAACACTTTAAAAATGTATTATCCTTTAAAGGAGAAAAATGGAAACTGGTTTTTAACTCCCCTCTCATTTTAAACCGTGTGTGTGTGTGTGTGTGTGTGTGTGTGTGTGTGTGTGT